AATAGCAGGGTAGACTGGGTTCTCTAACCTTGAGTGGTAGTTAATCTAGGAGAAAGCCTATTCTGAATTCAAAGACGTGGAGAAAGCAACGGGAAAACACTACGTAGTCTTTCCCAAGAAGCCTTAGCAAGTTATAGATAATAAAGGAAAGGAAGTAATGGAGAGCCATGATCACCTATATCCTGGTGGACGACTGCGTTAAAAAATATAATCTAAACCCTTAACTTACCATCAAGCTTGGCTTGTGTCTTATTATCGATATCGACCAGCTTATGATCGATCGAGTACTTTTTACGGTACAGTAAGCTTTTTAAGGTTATTTAAAACTTAAAAATATTTTTGGATTCTAAGATGTTTTTATTAGGAGACAATAATGATTTTCTGAATTCCAGTCGAATCCATTACATTCACATACATGCTAATACCCTTGGGAAAGGTATGAATCCTCTTCTCTCCCCCCCTCAACTGTGGGTAAATAGCAGGACAGACCGGGTTCTATAGCCTTGGTTGGCAACGAGTCTACCGCAGAAAGAAATGGCAACTGACTGCGGGGAAAAAAATCTGCCTCGTCAGTCATGTATCGAAAGATACATGATCGCGTAAGCGTGTGTCACGTATGTCACATAACTGACTGATACAAGTCCTACCATTTAACTCAACTCTTGAGCGACGGTTCGGTCCAACTCTCTGCTTTCGGGCGGGAGGAACCCGAAGGAGGCTACTCAGAAGGGCGGGGTCTCCTTCGAGGAGCTAGACCGGCCCTGAACCCGTTTATATGGGTTCAATGGGTATATTTTTGGCCGAGCCCGCGGGCTCGGAGTGCCCACGTTAAACCGGCCTTGTGCCACATGACGCCCTCGTGGGGGGGACGACTAAATATAGTCCTACCATTTAACCCATAGCTTCGAGGGGAAAGAGGTGGATTCACACGTAAGTGAATATAACGAACCCGGCTGGAATTCGAACTTGGCTCTCCGATTTCTGATTCCGAGCCGTTATCCATTCAAGCTTACAGCACCTGGTATTAACGACCGGTTACTGACCAAACTCAACGTTGCTTAACTTCGGACGACACCCTTATGTGTGGCCATTACCCAATGTAGATTTTCATAAGAAAAGCTCAGTAGATGTTGTCTTCTAACGACGTTTGCTCTGACAATGTTATTTATTTATTAAGATTCTAATGTCCCCTAAGGAGACAGATCACGTCAAAGAGAGAAATATGACAAAAAAGGCTTAAAAGAGTGATTTACTAAGCGTACCTTAGATGGGGTACTAGACTGAAAGTATGGGACACTCAGTCAGGACCAACTCAAGATTCAGTTGTTAGTCCTGGGTATGACGATAAACTACCTCTGGCAGGAAGGCGTCTGATCTGGACATTGGAGGTTCTGACGAGCGTGGATCCACCTGTTAATTGCTGTTGTTCCCAGGTCCCTCCTGACCTGGGGTGGTAGCTCCTGTTAGGGTCCCAGCTATGGGCAAATAATGAAACAAAAAGAAAACTCTATGAAAGTATAAAAATACCTACAATAAATTTTTATGTAAAAAAATCAAAACAATACATTTTTATGTAAAAAAATCAAAACAATACATTTTTATAGTAAAATGACCAACAATACATTTTTATAGTAAAATGACCAACAATACATTTTTATATTAAAATGTCCAACAATACATTTTTATATTAAAATGTCCAACAATACATTTTTATATTAAAATGTCCAACAATACATTTTTATATTAAAATGACCAACAATACATTTTTATATTAAAATGTCCAACAATACATTTTTATATTAAAATGTCCAACAATACATTTTTATATTAAAATGACCAACAATACATTTTTATAGTAAAATGACCAACAATACATTTTATAGCAAAAATCACCAACAATATATTTTTATAGTAAAATGACCAACAATACATTTTTATAGTAAAATGACCAACAATACATTTTATAGCAAAAATCACCAACAATACATTTTTATATTAAAATGACCAACAATACATTTTTATAGTAAAATGACCAGCAATACAAATTTATAGTAAAATGACCAACAATACATTTTTATAGTAAAATGACCAACAATACATTTTATAGCAAAAATCACCAACAATATATTTTTATAGTAAAATGACCAACAATAGATTTTTATAGTAAAATGACCAAGAATACATTTTTTATAGCAGAATGGCAACAATACATTTTATCTGTTGTTGAAGGCATACAATTGAGTTCAAATATATATATTTCGTCATTAAATAACACAATGCCGCTGAAAACAAAATGAAAGAACTCTTTCATCACATTAACCCTAACCCTAACCCTTACTCTAACCCTAACCCTACCTTTTTTGTAAAATTAACCCTAACGCTTTTTCTAACTCTAATGAACCCTTGTTCCTAACCCTAACCCTAACCTTTACGCTAACCCTAACCCTAACCCTTACTCTAACCTAACCCTAACCTTTACGCTAACCCTAACCCTAACCCTTACTCTAACCCTAACCCTAACCTTTACGCTAACCCTAACCCTAACGCTTGCTCTAACTCTAACCCTAACCCTTGCTCTAACCTTAACCCTTACTCTAACCCTATCCGACAATTAATGAAATCAAACGGTATTCCAAAATATATTTTCAACAGACCTACAGCATAAAGCACACATATCTTCGCCTCTAGTAATCATTTCCACACAAACATGTAGATGCACAAAAGTCGTAATTGATCCCGCGCGACAAGCCTGTTAACCATTACACCACGTCGTGGGACCCAAAGGCCGAAAGTATGAGGCACTCAGTGAGGATCGAACTCACGGTTCAGTTGTAATTCATCTAGCGAGACAAGCTTGCTATTGCATCACGTCAAAGTGTCCAGTGTTTTTGGAAATTTTTTTTTGGCGTACCTTAGATATTGCACAAGGCCGAAAGTATGCGGCACCTAGTGAGGATCGAACTCAAGATTCCTAATTAATCTAGTGAGACATGCTTGTTGACCATTACACTATGTCGAAGTGCCGAATACAAATGAATTCATAACCGCGTGTTCATAGAGCGTTTTTAGTAGACTTCGGGTTTCATCAATCGTCGATATGATTCTAAATTCAATTAAGACGAGGGTATTGCTCACATTAAACTCGGAATTCAATGGAACATCAACAAAGGATTTGATTATTAAATAACATTTGATTATGTAAAACTCAGAGGTCTGGATTTATTAAATACGTTCATAAAAAAAATTATGATAACCGTGAGCTGCAAGCCGTCGCCTTTCTCTGTCTTTTCTACAAATACTTCCATGGTAACAGCTCTGACGAGCTGCTTTCACTGGTTCCCAGACTCCATGAATTCAAGCGCCCTACGAGGCTGGCATCCCGCTCCCACCCTTGCATCGTAAAAACTCTCAAATGTAGCCGTCTCTTCTACTCCAATAGCTTCATACCTCGCACCTCTCGCCAGTGTAACACTCTCCCCAGTTACTGCTTCTCTGAAGGCTATAATCTCCAACTATTCAAATGTAATGTCAATCGACATCTCCAGTTACCTTGATCTACCCACTGTCCTTCTCCTCATCCTTTCTTCTATCACTCCTATCTGCTCTCGCTCCAAATCTTCCGCAACCCCCTGCATCCTAGTGACTTCACGCCTTGCTTGGGGCGTAATGCTTAATATATATATATATATATATATATATATATATATATATATATAGAAATGCATTATAAATGATGTTTTCATGACCCGTGGTATCTTCTGATGCTCCCATAAACCGTGGTATCTTCTGATGCTACCATAAACCGTGGAATCGTCTGACACTCCTATAAACCGTGGTATCGTCTGCTTCACCCATAAATCATAGCTTCGTCTCCTGCTAACAAAAACCGTGGTATCGTGTACAATTCCCATAAATCGTGGTATCGTCTGCTGATCCAATAAACTGTAGTATCGACTGCTGTTTTTGTAAACCGTGGTATCTTCTGATGCTCCTATGAACTGTGGTATCGTCTACTCTTTCGATAAATCGTGGTATCTTCTACTGTTCCCATAAAACGAGGTATCTTCTGATGCCACCATAAATTGTGCTATCGTTTGATGCTGTCATAAATCGAGGCATCGTGATAGCACTCATAAAGAGTGCTATCACCTGCTGTTCCCATAAATCGTGGCATTGTCTGCTGTTCCCATAAATTATGGTATCATCTGCTATTCATATAAACCGTTGCATCATCTGCTGCTCCCATAAACTATATTATCATCCGCTCTTCTCAAAAACTGTGGTATCGTCTGTTGTTCCCATAAACCGTAGTATTGTCTGCTGCTCGCATAAACCGTGGTATCGTCTGCTACTCCAATAAACCATGGTATCGTCTGCTACTCCCATAAACCGTAGTATCTTCTGATGCTCCTATAAACCATTGTATCGTCTGCCGCTCCCCAAAACCGTGGTATTGTCTGCTGTTTTCATAAACTGTGCTATCGTCTGCCGCTCCCATAAACTGAGGTATCTTCTGATGCTCCCATAAACCATGGCATTGTCTGCTGCACCCATAAAGCGTGGTATCGTGTACAGTTCCCATAAACTGTGGTATCGTCTGCTGCTCGCATAAACCGTGACATCGTCATGTCCCCATAAAACTTGGTATCGTCTGCTGTCTCCATAAACCGTGGTATCATCTGCTATACCCATAAACTGTGGACTCGTCTGCTGCTCCCTTGAGTGGTGGTATCGTCTGATGCTGTCATAAACCAAGGCACCGTCTACTGTTCCCATAAATCGTGGTATCCTTTACTGTTTCCATAAACCGTAGTATCGTCTTCTGTTCCCTTAAACCATGCCATGCCATTGCTATAAAACGTGTTACCGTCTTCGGTTCTCATAAACCGTGGTACCACCTGCATATATATTTATTGAGGATCTGCGAATTTTCTTCGCCAGATTTTAATATTTATTTTCACATTTTAGAATTTGGGCTATTTTATAAAGGTAATCTTTTAATGGGTCTCGTCTCTCTTCCCTTCAAATGCAATATTTTGCAGACGTTAATTTCAATGTTTCAGAATAGCAGACGAACAGCAGACGATACCACGGTTTATGGGAGCAGCAGACGATACCACGGTTTATGAGAGCAGCAGACGATACCACGGTTTATGAGAGCATTATTGAGAAATAATTCAATGAATCGCGGAATTTCAACTAACAATCGTCACTGTTGAACATTATGCTTTTGACAGCTGATTAGATACGTCGTCCTCCCTGCCTCGGGCTCTTCACCGTGTTTCTTATCGCTGGTTAATGCAGCACAATGGATTATACGGTTTCTCTTGATGCAAAATATTGCATAAAACCACGTGATAAAGCCAGATTTAAAGATTTTTTTTTCTTTTTCAAAAAATAGAAAATTCTTATGAATTTTATGAGAATTCTATCTTCTAATAATTAAATGTTTTTGGAAAATGTAAGCAGTTGATAAAATGCGACAAAAATTTTCGTGTTTATTACACTTTTTTTTTATTTCCTCCATTTGCTTTTGGGGAAAATATTTAACCTTTTTCTTTCCTTCTTTTTCTTTCTAGTTTCTATCTATCTATCTATCTATCTATCTATCTATCTATCTTTCTTTCGTTAGTTCTTTCTTTTTCGTTCGTTCTTTCTTTTTCGTTGTATTTATTTTAATTCTTGGCTTTTCTTTTTCATTTAATTCCATTTTCTTTCTTTCTTTGAGCAGTTTCTTTCTTTTTTATTTTTTCTTTCTTTTTTATTTTTTCTTTCTTTTTTATTTTTTCTTTCTTTTTTCTTTCTACTTTCTAAAACTTTAGTGTTCTTTCTTTTTTCTTTTTCACTGCAGTTATTTTTATTTTCGGTCTTTCTTTTTCATTTAATTTTCTTTGTTTCTTTCTTTCTTTGTTTCTTTCTTTCTTTCTTTCCATCTTCACTTCTTACATTTTCTTACACCCATACAGCAGAATACTAACTCTCTAGCTTGAGGGACTCTTGAGCTTTATATCGGTTGAACACTAGTAAAAAAAAAAAAGGATAAAATTTTATTTCTTCTAATCTTTCTTGAACTTTCTCCAATCCTTTCTTCTCGCTTTTTTTCACTTTCTTACTTATCGTTTCCTTCTTTCTTTCCTTCCTTCTCTTCATTTCTTTCTTTCTCTCAACTCTGTAATTTTTCCTTGCTCTGTCTCGGCTTTGTTTTTTTTTTTCTCAACGCCATATTTTCATTGTCTCGAATAAAATATACATTGTTGGTTGATCTATCCACGTGAAATTAGACTCCAATACACGGCTCCAGTATCGTCCTTGCTCCTCCCACTGGAATAATAATAATAATAATAATAATAATAATTATTATTATTATTATTATTATTATTATTATTGCAGCTGTCGTATTACAAGGCTTGTCTTTGTTCACAGCAGCAGTATGTAATGGGCAAGTGCCGCCAGTCGGCAAGACAGGTTTAGGTGCTGGGATTCTAACGGCTGTAGTGGTTATCATAAGGGTAGTGGTCGTAGTAGTGGTGGAAGAGGTGGTAGTGACACAACACCTAACACACATTGGCGTCTCTCAGGTACTGCTTCGTCCACTGATGGTCAGCAGAAGTTTTTCGTTCTTTTTCCTATCTAATGGCCGCTGATTATTGAGTGGTTCCCTATCCAGGAAATATTAATGGCGGTAGTTTTTAGCAGTTGGCCTCTGTACAGGAATTGCCATTACCATCGTCTTTTTTCTTCTTTGTTTATTTCTTTTTTTCTTTCTTTTATTTCTTTTTCTTCTTTGCTTGATTACTGTTCGCCCTTTTCTTTATTGACGTATTTCAGTTTATTTTTTCCTTTTTCTTCTTCCCCATAATACTTTCATTCTTTTATTTCCTTTTTTCTCTACTTTTTTCTTTCTTTCTTTTTGTATGTGTTTTTTTTATTCTGTTTACATTTTGTCGTCTGCTTTTTTTTTCTTTCTTTCTTTCTTTTTTTCTTTCTTTCTTTCTTTGTATTGTTTTTTTTTTTTTATTTATAACACCCTTCTTTTTTCTTTTTTTACATTCTTTTATTCCTTCCGAATTTTTTTGCTTCTTTTTTTTTTTAATTGATCCTTCTGGTTTTTTTTTTTTTTTTGCTTCTTTCTTTTAATTTATTTTCTTTCTTTCTTCCTTTCTTTCTTTCCTTTTATTTATTACTTCTTTGCGTTTTTTTTTTGTTTTTTTTTTTACCTTTTCATTCATATTTATTTATTCATTTATTTATTTATTTGCGGCTTTTCTTTTGACTATTCACCTGTCTCACTTATTTCTTTTGGTTCTTTTCTTTTCCATCTTTTTCACATCTTTTTCTTCTCCATCTTTTTCACATCTTTTTCTTCTCCATCTTTTTCGTTCTTCATCTTTTTTCTTTCTTCCATAATCTCCTTTTTTCATTCTTCTTAATTTGGGATTATTTTTTTACGCTTTCTTCACCTTATTCTTCCTATTTTTTTTTTTTTTGAAATAATTTCTTTCCTTCCCTTCCTTCATTCGTTCTTCATTCTTTATTTGTTTCTCTACCGTTAGTACAGGTATTTTTTTTCTTTTCGCATCCGTTTAGGTTTTACTAAATCCGCCTATTTCTTTCGGGGGAGGCTGCCACCCTTTCACTCCCACTGAAAAACAAATATTTTCCTTACTCCCACGCCCTCTTGTGTTGACACCATTTTCTCAGGTCTTTCACCATTTTTCTTTTTTTAATTTTTAATTTTTTGGCGGCTACCATTTCAGACTTATATTAATTTTTTTTTTCTTTATCTTTATTTTCTTTATCTTCTTCATCATCAAGCTTTCTTCCATATCCTTTCCTCCCACCTGAACGATATTATACATCATTGATTCTTTCTTTTTTACCCGCCGAAACACTTCTTCTCACTCATTCCACCATTCACAGTTTGTTTTTGCCAATTCTGAATTTTGAAGAGTTTTTAAGACTTTTACTATTTGATTAATATTATTGTCCAGAGTCAGTTTTAGTTAAAGTTGTCTTTTTTTTAGTTTTTTTTTTATCTTTCTTATCGTAAAGCTAATATAAAGGTTTAGCCACCCCACTGACACCTCCTCCTCCTCCACCACCTTCTTCTTCTTCTTCTTCTTCTTCTTCTTCTTCTTCTTCTTCTTCTTCTTCTTCTTCTTCTTCTTCTTCAACTGTTCTTTTTGTCGACTTTCCGTTATTCCGTGTCTTCCTTCTTTCTTTCTTTCTTTCTTTATTTCTTCTTATATGCTTGAAACCTCTACTGTTTTTGTTCTGCTGTTTGAAATATCGTAATTTCCTTCCTTCTTTCCTTCCTTCCTTCTTTCATTCCTTCCTTGAAATGCCTTCCTTTCTTTGTTTTACTGCTTGA